TGGCGCTGGCAAGAGCACCCAGGTGAGCCCCCGCGCCCGTCCCGACCAGCCCGGCGCCGCGCTGCACCCGGGGCAGCTCCCCGGCACGCCTCCCATCCGCACCCTGCACAAGCGCTCTGGCAGCACGGGGCGTTGGTGCCGCGCCTGCCTGGGCACCGCGCCAGCACCACGGCAGACTCGCTCTGTGCCCAGCGGGCAGGCAGGTGGGGCGGGCGGAAGCTGCTCCGTGCCCGAGTGCAGGGGGGAGCTGCGCCACGGTGGCCGGGAACTGGATCCGGGTCGGGCGGGGTGCCACGGCTGGAGCAGCACGGAGCCGGCGTCCAGGACTTTGCCCGGGCGAGGCCCTGGTGGCCGCCTGCGCTGTGCCGAGCAGAGCTGCCTGTGGCTTCAGGCAATTGCCCTGGGTGCTGGGGCTCACGTGCCATGGCTCCCTTGTTTACACTGGGACGTCCCGCAGCCCTCCGTGGCGTGACCCAGGGGGAGGGCAGGGCCCCCCCGACCCCGTGGGGGTGCAGCAGCCAGAGCCATGACCCTGTCGGGGTGGCTGCATGCCCGCAGGTCCCGCAGTGGTGCGCGGAGTACGTGCTGTCGCAGCAGCTGGCGCACGGCCTGGTGGTCTGCGCCCAGCCCCACGGCCCGGCAGCCCTCAGCCTGGCGCTGCGCGTGGCCGACGAGATGGACCTCAACCTGGGCCACGAGGTCGGCTACTGCGTCGCTCACGACGACTGCTGCACCCCGGAGACGCTGCTCAGGTGGGAGCAATCCCCTGGGGCAGGGGCAGAGCCGCAGGGAGCATCCTGCTGCAGCCCACCCAAGCGCACCCCACTCCTGCCCGGGCCCGGGCTGGGCGGTCACCAGCGCCACCCCCACTGCCCCGGGGAACAGAGGCAGGCAGCCCCCAGGGTCCCCGCCGGCGCCCCTCGCTCCTGACGCACGGCACCTGAGCCGTGCCTGGCGCTGCAGGTTCTGTTCGGACGAGATGCTGCTGCGGGAGATGATGTCGGCACCACTGCTGCAGCGCTACGGGGTGGTGGTGCTGGACGAGGCGCAGGAGCGCACGGTGCCCACGGACGTGCTGCTGGGGCTGCTCCAGGATGTACAGCGCCAGCGCCCTGCACTCCGGCTCGTCGTGATCACGGCACCCGCCCTCGAGCCGCGGCTCTGCGACTTCCTCCGTGACCCCCCGCTGGTCTGGGTGCCGGCACCGCATCCCCCCTGCCCCGTGCTGTACCACGACCTGCCTGCCCACGCCCGGGTGGCAGCCGCCTGCCAGGCCGTGCTGGACCTGCACCAGCGCCAGGAGCCCGGCGATGTGCTGCTCTACGTGGCCAGCGAGCAGGTGGGTGGGGGCAGGACCCTCATGCTGGGGTGCTGCTAGGACCTGGCAGGGTCCCTGGGGGCTGGGGGGTCCCTGGCAGAGAGCGGGTGCCGTGGCCAATGCCCCCCGGCTCCCCCAGGAGATCGAGGAGTGCTGCGAGGCCCTGGAGGCCGCGGCCGCAGCGCTGCCCGCAGCGCCGGGCCCGCTGCAGGTGCTGCCACTGCACCCTGGCCTGGGGCGGGCAGCCCAGAAGGTCTACACAGCGCCGGAGCCCGAGGAGGCGGGAGCAGGCCGGCCACGGCGGGCGATCGTCACCCACTGGCTTGCGGATTCCTCCTTCTCGCTGGACGCTGTGAGCCACGTCGTGGACACGGGGCTGGAGCTGCGCAGCGTGAGTGACCCTCGTCCCCTACAGACCCCTTGGCACCTTCCAGGCCGCCCTGTCCCTGCCTGGAGGGGAGAGGCCTGGCCCCTCCTGACCCCCGGGGCCACGGCAGAGCTGCCTGCGGGGGCTGGGGGAGCCGTGGGGCAGCCTCAGGCTCCAGCAGGGCGGGCTGAGTTGGGGGGGCCGTGCGGCACCGGTGGGTCAGCGCGGCCGTCTCCCCCAGGTCTACCACCCCTGGATCCGGGCCGAGGCCCAGGTGCTGCGACCCGTCAGCCAGAGCCAGGCAGAGTCGCGGCGGCAGCGGGCCACAGGTGGGAGCCCCCGGGCGGTGGAGGGGGTCCGTGACGTCACTGCCCGTCTGGCCTGGCCTGGCCTGGCCTGGCCGGGGGGGACAGGGCACTCGGCTGCTCTCACCCCACCACGCCGGGCCTGGCCTGCCACCCCCTCCTGCCCTGGCCCTGCCAGGACCCCTTGCCTGCACCCGGGTCCCCCGTCAGCCCGCGCCCTCTGCCCCGCAGGCTCGTGCCTGCGCCTGTACCCGGAGGCCGAGGCGCAGCGCCTGCCGCCCTGCCCCGCGCCCCGGGTGGCCGAGGCCAACCTGAGCCGCCTCGTGCTGCTGCTCAAGC